CATTCCTGCCATCATACATTTTAGTTGTTTGGTGCCCCTTTAAAATGAACATATGTGTGCTTCATCTAATGCGTTTATGTGTGCTTGACCTTACTGGCTCATATCTTTTCAGTTTGCAGCTTCAAGCAGTGGATTGGCACAGAGATTATTGTCTCCTTGTTGTGAGGTTAGAATGGTCAAATCTCAAAATATCCTTTCTCAAGTGGAAGATATTATTGTCTCCTCTTGGTATTCAATTAGTTTTTTCTTATCAGAGTTGGCTAAATTTGGTTTTACTATTGATGCTATATATATATTTATGTATCTTTTTTTGTGAGAAAATTGATGCTATACTGTTATAGATGGACATATGTTGTTTCTGTAAAAATTCATTTCCAAGGCTCATGGTATTTATTTCTTCCTTTTAGGAGCTTAATGCTTCTCTAGTTTCTATTCGGGAGGTTAAAACAAGTGATGGAGCTTGTTATCTTGCACTGAGGGTTTCCAAATCCAAGATTCAGAATGGTTTTTGGAGTTTTTTAGAAAAATATGGCTATCGCTATGAGGGTGATCACATTCGAGCCTTGCTTCCTTGCGAGGTTTAGTTTCTTCTGACTCATATTGTTACTTAACTGCTCAAATTGCTATTGCTTTACTTGTTTACATGTGTTGCCCAATTACTAGATTTTTGCAATTACCCTTTTTATGTCCTTAATATTATTTGGCCTATGTAAGTTCTCTCTTTCTCTATTATTCTTTTGCTACAGGTTTGTCTTTGAAATGTGATCCTTCAAAGTGAGAAATTGTTGGATCTGGCATTATCTATTTCCCTGGAATTCATTTTTCATTAATTTAAAGGATATTTCATATATATAATGATTTGTATTAGTTAATATCAAATGAATGACTAAATGCTTGGTTTAACTACCTATGCTATGTAGTGGCATATATTTCTATCTTGACAATTTTATTTTATTGCTTCATTACATCACTAGAGTTGGCATTTATATTTTCTTAATGATTAAAATTTCTACTGCTGAAATGCTTTTGATTCGCTGTTACTATGATCTGTAATTTATAGTTTCAGGCTAAGTGTTGTGTGTTATTTATTTTTAATTTGTTATCTTTATATTGAAATTTGTTATTTGCCTTTTGATTAATATTTTGCTCTTAACATATGTATCAGGCAATGGAAATTATTAAGAGAATGCCGATAGAGACCAGAAAAAAGCTTGCTGGAAAGGGATATTTTCCTCAAGATGGATATGTTTTGAAGTATCTTCCAGTACCACCAAATTGCTTGTCTGTGCCAGTAGTTTCAGATGGCGTCAGTGTCATGTCTTCGGTGAGAAAATGAACATGTTATTATGTCAGAAAATGTCTCACTAGTTACTTTTGTTCTCTATTATGGCTAATTCTATGAGTTAATAGTTTATGTACAATGTAATAGATTTTTAACTGTCATCTATTCACAAATCGCTTTATGTTGTAAATTTGTTGAATTTCATAATAACTACCTTATAGTTATATCAGCAATTATTTTTTATTGGTTGACAGTGTTAAAAATTTTACACCTACAGAGCATAGAAATTAAAGTCTAATTCTATTTTCTGTCATAGTTTATTCTGTTATCAGAGTCTGCTACAACATTTTAATTGCCTGTTTGTTAAACTAGCCTTGATGTTGGCTCTTCTCTAAAATTCTGTACCATGTTTATATATGTATAAATATGGCATCTCCATTCAGAGTTCATTATGTAAACTAACTTGCACAGATTATTGAAACTCTCTCCTTTTGATTTTCTTGCTTGAGTATTCATATCTTGGTTTACTTGCCTTGGCCATAGTGTATTTGTAAGTGATGTATCTTTGTTGCTTTGCAGGATCCTTCCATAACAATTCTCAGAAAATTGCTCAGGAAGGTTGAAATCATCAAAAGCTCTAGATCTGGTGAACCAAACTTTGAGTCTCATCATGTGGAAGCAAATGATTTGCAGTCGGTGGTTAATCAGTATTTTCAAATTAGGGGTACTTCTAAAGCAGCTCGTGATATAGAAACACGTTTTGGGGTCAATAAAGAGCTTAATGAATCGTCAACTAAAGCATGGCTTGAGAAAATGCGAACTTTATTTATAAGAAAGGGGTCAGGGTTTTCCTCCCGAAATGTGATAACTGGAGATTGTTATAAGAGGATAAATGAAGTAGGAATTCCTGAATCCCTGCTGAAGTTGCCCAGCGAATAACATTTGAGGAGAGAGTTAACATCCATAACATCAGTTATTTGCAGAAGTTAGTTGATGAAAATTTGTGCCTGACCTACAAGGAAGGTGTATCAACTTATTCACTTAGGGAGGGCTCTAAGGGGCACATATATCTTAAGCCTGGTCAGATAGTCCATCGGAGGATTATGGATGGGGATATTGTCTTCATTAACAGACCACCTACAACTCACAAACACTCTTTACAAGCACTTTTCGTCTACATCCATGATGACCACACAGTGAAAATAAATCCTCTAATTTGTGGACCGCTTGGGGCTGATTTTGATGGTGACTGTGTCCATCTGTTTTATCCTCAGTCGCTTGCTGCTAAAGCTGAAGTTGTGGAGCTATTTTCTGTGGAGAATCAGCTGCTTAGCTCTCACAGTGGTAATTTGAACCTACAATTAAGCACTGATTCGTTGTTGTCACTGAAGATGTTGGTGAAGAGATGTTTTTTTGATAGGGCAGCAGCTAATCAATTGGCGATGTTTCTGTTGCTTCCTTTGCCTCAGCCTGCTTTACTCAAGGCCAGTTCTGGTGATTCTTACTGGACTTCCATTCAAATGTTACAGTGTGCTTTACCTTTGTGTTTTGATTGCACTGGGGGACGGTACTTGATTAGGCAGAGTGAAATCTTAGAATTTGATTTCAACAGGGATGTTCTGCCTGCAACGATAAATGAAATAGCGGCTTCAATTTTCTTTGGGAAGGGTCCAAAGGAAGCGCTAAATTTCTTTGATGTAATGCAACCCTTTTTGATGGAAAGCTTATTTGCTGATGGGTTTAGTGTTAGCTTACAAGACTTTTCAATTTCTAAAGCAATCAAAAGAATTATAAACAGAAACATTGGAAAAGTTTCTTCTCTGTTATATCAGCTGAGGTCCTTATACAATGAGCTGGTGGCACAGCAGTTGGAGAAGCACATTCGTGATATTGAACTTCCTATTATTAATTTTGCTCTAAAATCAACTAAACTGGGAGAACTAATTGACTCAAAGAGTAAATCCGCTATTGATAAAGTTGTTCAGCAGATTGGGTTCTTAGGGCAGCAACTTTTTGAAAGGGGAAGATTCTATTCCAAAGGATTGGTTGAAGATGTAGCTTCACATTTTCATGGGAAGTGTTGTTATGATGAGGAAGGTTATCCCTCTGCTGAGTATGGATTGCTCAAAGGGTGTTTCTTTAATGGTTTGGATCCATATGAAGAGATGGTGCATTCAATTTCAACGAGAGAAATACTAGTGCGTTCTTCAAGAGGATTATCAGAACCTGGAACACTCTTTAAGAATTTAATGGCCATCCTTCGGGATGTTGTGATTTGTTATGATGGAACTGTGAGAAATGTTTGTAGTAATTCCATTATCCAGTTTGAGTATGGGATACAAGCTGGAGAGAAAACTCAGCACTTATTTCCTGCTGGTGAGCCTGTAGGTGTCTTAGCTGCAACTTCTATGTCAAATCCTGCTTATAAGGCTGTCCTTGATGCTAGTCCTAGCAGCAATTCTTCATGGGAGTTGATGAAGGTAAACATGTCGTTGTAGTGAATTAAGGACATCTGTTTTTCATATCACAATAAATTATTTTTTCTGAATTTTTTATTTATGCATTTTATTTTCAGGAAATTTTACTCTGCAAGGTCAATTTTAAGAATGAGCCTATTGATCGTCGTGTAATTTTGTACTTGAATGACTGTGATTGTGGAAGGAGTTATTGTCGGGAAAATGCCGCTTATTCAGTTAAAAATCAATTGAGAAAAGTCAGTCTCAAGGATGCAGCAGTGGAGTTCATTATTGAGTAAGTTTCCTCATTTATGTTATGCTTTATAACACTATTCTACACATTTTCTAGTTATTTATTTTTAATGTTTCTTATAATGCATGGATCAAATATGTTGAATTGGTTGGTATCTTGTGGCTTGAATTATTTGTCAATGGTGGCAGTTGCCAGTGTAGTTATATCATATATGGCATGCAATGCCTGGATACTGTGGACTATTATTTGTCTGATAATGTTATCAAGATTGCAAGTTTACATGTAGGATTGCCTGAATATTAGTTTTGCTGCTGTCACAATCCCAAGCAAACTGAGGATTGTTGAGCTGCTGGATTGGATGAGATGGTTGGCTAACTTGGCAAAATGGTGGGATAGTTGAGTTTGGGGAGCCTTGTCGTTGAAGTATTTGAACAAGGATTAAGAAAGTCATCAACTAGTTTCAATTTCTTGAAATCATGAGTTCATTTGAGTATATTACATTTTTATTCCAATATTTCATTAATATTATCTCTTTTCACATAGTGGAGGTATCAAAAGGCATGGATAAAATTGTAGAAAAGCTATGCTTTCTCAGATTTATGTCACAATTTGAAACAAACTAAAACTTTAATGGTGTCAATTACTTTGAAGTGAAGAGTAGTTTTATCAAATGGGAAAAAAGTGGTTTTGCATATACAAGTTGGGGAGTGTTAAGATATCATATGAAACAGAAAATCTCATGCACACGCATATCAATGAACATGAGACTCAAGAATGCAGTTCTGTTGCTCTGCACGTAACTATGTAACGAATATTGTCTTTCCTTGAATCAGGCACGAGCAAATTCCAAAGGAAAACCATGTATTTTATTTTTATTTTGAAAATTGTTAGTTTTGATTCCCAAGATGCCAGAAACGGGAAACATCTGGTATGTTCTGTTGGAATATTTATTTATTGTGTCGAGGAGGGTAATAAGTCTTCGTAAGCAGTTTGTCTGTTCTTGTTCTGTTTATCTATACTGATTTTGTTTAGGATAAACCATAGTCTTTGCATTATTTGATTAAGTTGTGATATTTTATATTATTGAAAGATATGTTAATGTTTAATTTTTTGGGGACTTGTTTCTTACCTGCAGATACCAACAGCAGCGCACTCACAAGGGAAACTCTGAAAATGATGCTGGGCTTGTTGGTCATATTTATCTGGATGAGGTTATTGGATTTCCTTTTCATCCAATATGTGCATAATGTTCCTACTTGCTAGTTGCTACCTACATGCATGGCAACTATTATAAATTTTTTCCTTCATTATATGAAACTTGTTAGAATATAGGAAATTATCCAATAAAATCTTGACCATATTTGGGAGTATCCTAGAACTATTTAGACTATCCAATAAGTATCTAGAATATATCTTGTTAGAATATTTTAGTGCATCAAAGAGATTATCTCTTAGGACTATCTTCCCCATTTTCTTACTTTCCATATTTGGTAACATGTGATGATTTTTTTTTCTTTGGTTACGAACTTAGGATTATGATTGGTATAAATGAGGTTTACTGCTTTATAGTATAACAAATCATGTCATATCATCAGGTCTATTTAAATTTCATTCTACTTTGTCTCTAACTCTATTCTCTCTATCCTTTCCCTTTCCCTAAAAGGCTAAAACCCTGTAATTTTAACAAACTTAATAAACTAACATGAGTAACATTTTGGCATGACTCTGGATATTTACTCCGATATGCAGCAGAGTTGGAAAATTCTTTCAAACAACTGAAACAAGTATTTGTAATTATTTTTTCTATGTTTTATTTTTTTTTAGTTTTTTACTAGTATATTTTACGGGTTAAATTATATGTAACTAAAATTTATAATAAATTATATATACAAATAATATTATATTTGAACATATAGATCATATTTAAAATTTGTATAAATAGTTACTTTTAAACATATAAATTATTATAGATTTATGATAAATAATTTATATTATAGCATAATATTATTTATTGATAATATATTTTAAAAATATTAAAAATTAATTTATAAATAATTATGATAAATTAAAATCAAAATAGATAAGAAGTTACTTTTTTTTTTAAAAACCCTCTTGTGACTTGTTGAAGAAAAGTCTTTAAAAATGCTCGTGTAAGATAGAAATTTATGTGTAATATATAGGGGTTCATTAAGAGCTATTGTACTGAATTTAATATTATTAGTTTTTTTTACATAAATTTAATTAAAATGTTGCGAGTTTTCAAAAACCTTGGTAGTAAATAGTGGATAGCAGCCTGGGGCAGCTGCCCCAAACATGCTATAGCGGATTGATGCTGGCTAATATTTTGAATTTTTAAATATATAGTTTCTATTATATAATATATTTTGTTAATAATATTTTATATTCTCTCTTATTATTTTATATATTTCTTATTACTATATTAATTTTATTTAATTATCAGATTTTCCCATTTTATATCTTAAATTTATGCTTGTCTCTATCATATAATATAATTAGGTATTAATATTATTTTTTTAAAATATTCTTAAAATTGGGTGAATAATTGTGCAAGACTTAGTTAGATTAAGAATAAAGTATCCAAGTTACAATTGGAGTACCACGGTTGTGAAGGGATTGACAAAACACCGAGGTGGTTTCTTCATGTAGGGAGGGCAACACCATAGTACAAAACTGTATCAATTGGAGAATTGCTGGATTAAGTGTATTTTAAAGAAATATGTTGGGAAACCTCTAATGACTTTGATGGATATTTTAAAATTGGATTTTGGTAAACTACAATTGCATGAAATTCCACCACCTGGGAGAAGGCTTGGTGGTTGAGTTATTCTTATATTTGTAATTGTAATCAATCCCTATATATTAAACACAAATTGCTATCCAGCCTAAGAGTGTTTTTAGGGACTTTTCTTCTACGAAAGAGGTTTTAGGGATTTTTTTTAACTTGTCTAATTTGGTTTTATTTATCCTAATTATTTATGAATTAAATTTTAATATTTTAAAAATAAATTATCAATAAATAAAGATAATCTTGTGTTATAATATAAATTATTTATCATATTTATATAAATTTTAAATATAATTTATACATTCAAACTTAATATTTATTTGCATATATTATTTATTATAAATTTTAGTTATATATAATAAACATTTAACCTCTGCATTGCACAAACTAAAATATTAGTTACTATCATTGTTTAATTAAGTATTTAATAACTAACAATATCCTTTTGAACAGATGATGTTAGACGAGCTGAAGATCAACATGGATGATGTTTTCCAAAAATGCCAAGATAGACTAAATTCATTTGGTCGGAAAAAGAAACTTAATCCCATTTTGAAGAATACTCAATTATCATTTAGGTTAATTCTCAGTTCTTTCCTTTTCATTTGATAATCTGTCATCCATTTGTAATTATTCATGCTTTTCTGAAATAATTTGTTGCTTGCAACATGATCGGTAGTAGGCATATGAGCACTTTTTTTCCAAAAGCATGAACCTCTATTAGAGAGGGGCCCAATTCTAGTATAGGTTAGTTACCTATGTTTGGGGGGAAATAAATAGGGTGGACTTGTTTTCAAGTGGGACATTGATTGAATAATTGAGGAATAATTAAGTTAATCGTTGTGGGACTTGGGTTTTTCTAATAATGGAGGAGTATAATCATCAGACTGCGGTGCTTGAGCAACACTGATCGAGTTAGATTCATTTAAGGATTTGAACATATCAATATGATGCTACTGAGCTTGGAGCAGAGCTGCAATTTCATCAAGATGAAACTATTCAGTTTTGCTATGAACAAGTGTGATGAAAGCTTCATATTTGATGGCTAATTTATCTAAAATTACTTCAATATGTTCTTGAAGAGAAACATGTTCACTGATAGAAGCATGTGCAAGAGATATTCAGTGATAGAATTATCATCTTTTATTCTTTTCTTTAATTCAGTTTGGAACTGATGAGATCTAGCTTTTGTGAGGGTCTGAAAGTATTTGTGAATATTCTCCCAAAGCAAGCAGACAAGGGTGCATGCAGCCAATAACATGTGGTAAAATTGACAGAGAGAGAAAATTGAAGACAAGCTAATAACATATGATCTTGCTGTTCCAAAAGTGAGTAAGCTGGATTCTCAATTGTAGAATCACAATTCTCCTTAGAAAGAAATCAGGGAAGAATTTCTGGATTCAGAATAAACTTTTGGAGACAATATCCATGCAACACAGGGTTGATCTATTGTTTCTAGACGAGAAAAATCTTGGTAAGTTTATTGGTCATTGGATAAGGGAAATGCACTGGTATTGCTGGAGAAGAAGTCACCACCATATGTTGCTTAAAAGTAAAAGTTGGTGCCTAGGCACAAAAGTTTATGTTGGTGGTTGCAATTCCAGCACTCAGGTCACAAGAGTGGGGGAGACAGTGGATTAGATGTTGGTGTCAGATTGGAACCATTGACACTTCTCAAGTTTAAATACCGTAATAGTTCTCTGTAATTGGGGGGGGGGGGGG